GAAAGACCCTTCAGGATGACACCCAAGTCTGGATTTGCAAAGAAAACATGGATGGTCTCGAAAATTTCAGTCGATGTGGGTGGAATGGAGAGAACTGCAAGCAAGGCTTGGTAGTCGATGTCAAGGAGGTCAAGGAAGTCATCCACCGGCTCCCTCTGAACTTTACGTGCAACACTTCTGGTGTTTCTTGTATGGGACACAAGACCTTGTAGGTTCTGTCCATGAGCAATTCGCATTTTAATTGGGCTTAGATATTGTTCCACAGGGGCGAAGAGGTCACTGGTTAGCTTAATCTGTTTCAGCAGGTATAAAGCATTGCCTGCAAGGTCAATAAAAGTGTTTGACAAGCAAGACAGAGGAGTTGGCATCTTGGTTAGAGCATCCCTTAATATCTCGTACAACTTGCGCAGGATCTCCAAGGTAAAATTTAGTCCAGTATCTTCAGTAGTGTACAGCCAGTTGAAAAACTCAACAGATTTCCACAGGGTGCCACTTGTATCTTCGAAGTACAAAACCTGCTGCATTACTCCATAAAGCATAGGCCACTCTCCCAGCAATCCTGTACCAATGATTTGCTGGATCACCTCTTTTATTATATTGTCAACCATGCTTCCATTGGGCTTCATAAATATGTCTCCACTCAGGATATAATTAATGATTTCCTCTGTGAAATTCATTCCGGTGAGTGTGATCTCCAAAGCCTGCATGACGATCAGAGGGCTTGCAGTGGAGTTCTGGATGAGATAGCCATTCTGTAGGATGTCCTCAATGGTTTTTCCAATTGCTTCGATGTATGGCACCATCCAGGGAGCTTCTGTCTTAATTTGCTCCAGAGCCATTTGTACTGTGGAGAGGCTGATGAGAGAGAAATTAGTATTGCATGGTCACAAAAAAAATTACAAATAAAAAATGGCTTTTTAAGGATCCATTCACTCACTAGATTAGATAATGTACTGTTATGCACATATGAGAGAGATTATGAACTAATTCAGTCCAAGATATTTAAATCGATTTTTATGTATCGGTCATACAAACATAAAATGTCTACAATTTTTAAACTGGATTACTTATATCTAATTGCTGCAAAACAGTTTATAATTCATCTGGATTTTGCTCTCCATTTCAGTGGGCACTCACATTATATTTATAGAACTGTATAGTTATAATAGACTTAGAGACAATTTTCATCATGTTCAATGATCTACAGCGGGTGCATAAATGTTCCTCCAGTCTTACATGACTGATTTGCCCAGATATGCACAAATGCATAATTTGATTCCTATCAGTAGTCAGTTCATTACAGGGATGAGCACATAAAGCAGAATCAATTTAAGAGCAGGGAGATAGAGATAACAGAATAATAGAAACTACTTTATCTGCTCAAACCTGTTTGGAAGCAAAGGAGTCAAACTGAATAAATCAACCTTAATGCAAATTTAATTACTCTTACTTAGTTTGTTTGCATGATTCCAACCCCTGGTCCTTATGGGTAATAACTGCAAATCTCATTGCAAATTTGAGGAGGTTTTTCGGTAATATAATCGGGCTTATGATAATGTCGAGGTATAATGGGCAAATGAGTTCGTGTGGAATTGCTGCATACTTTTGTTGTCGCCAATTTATTCAAGCTATACAGAAAAATAATGGTGAAAAGCTCAATGCACATTGAAGCACAGAGTGTGTATCTTTGTAAAAGATCTTTCTCTGTTATAAGACTGCCATTTGTTTTCTGTCATTTAATATGACTCAGGTCATGTATCACGGTGAGAATATATGTTCCTGTAAAAATAACTCCAGCGCATTAATACCTTTGGTACAGCTGCATCTCCAAGAGCAGGGCATTCCAGTTTGCCTGGTTTGTTAATTCTGATACTGAGAGGTTGGATATCATTGATGTGTAATACAACAGGACTTCAGTTAGGTGAATGCTAGCAAAGGTATTGTTCAGGATCGCCCCGTAGAAATTCTCCAGTGACCCGGCCATCATTTCTGCAGTGACGTTTAACCAAAGAGGGTTCATCTCCATTCCCTGTTTAGAAACATAAAGGGACAAAGTCTAAATCAGTCTTTAGTGCACACCACCATCTAGTGGTGACATATGACAGTTGCATTTGAGAGCAAAAAAAAACTGCTATAAACTACTAACAGAAAAACGGTAAATTGTTCATAAAACTGTAACTTGTCTCACCGTCATATTGAAAGCTGGAGTTGCATCTCCTGGTTTACTGAAGGCTGCTATGACTGGCAGTAGGCTGATGTTACACCACAAAGTGACATGGTCTTCACTTATTCCAGTCACAACTTGGACATCCTGCCATATCCGCTCCACATAGCTGCAGTTCAGGCTCTGACCCCCCAAACCAGCCTGAGGGGTGAGCAATGAAAATTAAATAATTATCAGAGAAGGCAGAGATTGCAAGAGATATAGGATGATAATAAAACTAAAGATACAGCTTGTAAAAGCAAGACAAACTACAGTATACACAGATAAATGTAAAACAAATTATATATAATTTATATTCTTTTCTTCTATCTTATTCTTCAGGGACTTGTCACATTTTAAACTAAATAAAACAATATACCAACCAAATAAATAAATACATAAACACATTTCTCAGTTTGTCAGGATGACAAAAGGTTTTGGCCATGGTTCATATATTGGGCCCAAGGGAAGGGGAGGGGTGATCTTGTTTTATGCCTAATGAATTCAAGTGACGTGATCATTGATACTCTCATAGACAAAGCAGTAGGAAGTAGAGCAATATACAATAATTATACAATATAAAACACAAAAGTAGAAGCAGAAGTAGAGATATATGACTCCTGCCAGGATTTGAGCATCTTTTGTCTAAGGAAACCAAATTCACTCTAGGGATGAAAAGCAGCATCTAACGCACGCTAATGTAGGCTAGCTGTTTATCTGTGATTAATACACTTCTTGGCACACTGAATGGGCCTTTTGGGCCAATATTGCTGTATTCATTTCTAAAAAAATTACTTAATTGTGCCTATAGCTGTTTGGAAACACACAACAAGCTAATTAACAAACACTGCCAAGGTTATGCCTGATCAAAAACATAGCACATTACTGTGATATCGTGTTCTTACTAATAAAAAGAGATTTTAACCGGTTAGCTCTCTAAGCCAACCTTTCAAATCCTCTTTTTTGTGTTTTCTTCAATTGGCATAATAGGGAGCCATTTCTCTCACTTCCAATCACGCACCTAATAAGAGTGCTTGCAAAATGTTGTCTTGGCCAAAATTCAAGATCAAAATCAAGTCATTTGAATTGGCTAGTGGGACACAACCTTATTTTACACTATCATGCTTATATAATGCCATTCTTTTCTTTCTACTGTCACTAAGGACTTTTTAAAGCTGGACCCACAACAAACACATTGTAGATATCTGATAACACAGTATCATGCACATTACTTTGTTATTGATACAGTATGTGTCATGAATGAGAAGGTCAATCATTATTCAACAAGCTTTAGGTGCATTAAACAGGAATGCCAGTTCACCAACCCTCTATTATATGCTGAAAACCCTGCATTCTTTACATTCTTTACAACTTTATGAAAGTACTGTATAATTGTCTTCACAGTCCATCACATCAGTAGATATAAATGTTGTTCTAACCTGTAGAGCAGCTTCTGCAGTCAACACAATGGCCTGTGGCAATCCACTAACAAAAGACTGAGCAGTAAAACTGCTTGTGTTCATAACATGGAAAATATCTGTTAAAAGGCTGGACAATGGCTGCTGGAGAACATAGAAGAGCTCTGTGGAAAAGAAAGCACTTGCATTATAGATGCATACAGTTCATGTCTGGAAGAATCTGGAAACATACCCTGCAACTCTTTTGCAGCTGTATTCAACTGGAGGCATGTTTTTCTCACCTGTTTGTGCCTGCATGTTGTGAGTACTGTTGACAATGGCTTCTTGGATTGTGGACACTATAGACGGCAACGAATCCCAGATGGGAGTATCTCTGAAGGTTGAAAACAGAGCAGCCAGCATCTCCTCCAACCTATTTAACAAACACAGTCGGATTACCATTCAAAAGCTAAGACAATAAAAAAAAGGAACATTTCTAATATATTCTGTGGTTATTTATGCTTATTGGTTTGATTCCTGCCAAATCCATGAATGTAAATGCATGTGTCCTTTTTAATATATTAAAGTGCCCCTATTATGCTTTTTTGAATATTACCTTTCATGCAGTGTAATATAGCCTTCTGTCAATGTAAACGGTAAATTTACGTCTGACATTTCTACCTCCGCTTTCATCATTTGTTATCATTTAAGAGTAGAAAACCCACAACCGCTTGATTATAGAATCATCAAAGATCAGCATATGTAATAAGTGGCTTTGCGCTGACAAAAACTGTTTGACCAAATCAAAAGAAAACCTTCAGTGTGAGGAACAAACTCATTAGTCACAGCCAAAACCATGATCTGTGATCATTTCAAACATGGTCAATGTTTTCAGAGAAACTCAGAGATATGGCCACATGGACTCTCTGATTCTCTTGACAATGTAAATGAAGCTTTTGACTGAAAATCAAATAGTGAGATGCCAGCCTTACTTGTCAAAGGTCAGCTGGTCAGCACTTCCGGAGAGGATCTGGACTAGAACGGCTACAGATTCTGTGGCAGTCTGGGCAGACTCATTCATGAATGGTGACACAGAGCCCAGAAAGATGGCAAGCTGTGGCATCACAAATCAAGTTAAAAGTTTAAAACAAGTATAAATTGACATGTTTGTGTGTTTTTATTTATGCAATAAATCCTCACATCCCAATATGGTGATATTTTTGAGTCAGAAGATCTGTTTGTTATGAAGTAGATTTCAATAACAGGCCTTCGAGAAATAAAAGCAATTTACCTGTTCTGTTATTTCATTTAGGTTGCCAAGACTGAAGTTTCCTAAGTTGTCCCACATGTTTGTATATCCTGAGAAAAATAATATGGTACATATAATATGGTACATATATCTATGACAACTTGATTGAATAAAAAAAGAATGATGCCCACAGTAATTATCATCCAATGAATTCGAACAAACAACACCACAGTAAACTTGCCTTCATTTGATTTTAGAACATACTCTGTGACCTTAAGAATTCCAGATATGATGGGCTGAGCTTTGTTGTCAGATGGCAGAGAATTCTGAAGCTCTCTCATCACATTTACAATGCTGAAAATGAGAAAGAAAAAGATCACTATAACTTCCATGACACATGCATACACAAATACATGTACTGCATATACTCTACATACACACGGCTTTTAGGGTCAGTAAGACATTTTAATGTTTTTAAAATAAGTCTCTCATACTCACCAAGGCTGCCTTATTTGATAAAATATACAGTAAAACACGAATATTGTGAAACAATATTACAATTTAAAATAGCTGTATTTATTTATTTTTTAAAAATCTTACTGGCCCAAAACGTCTGAATGCTGGTACTGTATATACAGTAGATGAATAGATGGATGGATAGATAAATGTCTGTTTTTCGCTATCTACTATATATTAACAGATCTCCCTTATAAAGATACATCCTCTACATTTATACTTCATTCAATTTAGCTAGCAGAGGGGCCTTGGTGATACAAAGGCTGAGAATCACTGCTCTATACATATTTTAGGGGGGAAAAAATAAAAGAGAGACATAGACACAATACTTTGGGAGTAATACAGTCTACACTTACACTTCATTCCATTTGTCAGGTCCAGCAGGTTGGGAGCTGGTCTGCAAATAGGTTATAATGCTGTTTTTCATGGGAACCAACACCTCAACCACCTCTGCTGGCAAAAGGGCATGAAGCGCTCCTTCTACCATCTGGATAGTCTCCTGAGTGAGGTTGCTAGCTTTACTGTAGTCCATGTTAGGGTTCAGGATCAGCTGAAGTGAACCATGAATTGCACCAAGAATACTGTCGACCACATGCTGAGGTAGAGCTCCAGTCTCATTAGAAATACTCTCCAGAAACACTCTCACAGAACTGATGATGGCTTCTGTAAAGTTTTCACTTTGGAGACCACCTTCAGTGCTAGCCACCTGCAGAGCATAGGTTAGTGTCTGAGATACTTGTCCAGTGACAGAGATGAAGGCTCTGTCCTCAGGAGAGAGCAATGGTGTCAGTGCTTCCAAAAGCTGATTAAGATCTTTCCCAGTTGTTGTGAGATCTACAGTGCTAACGTTCCCCTGGAATATTCCGGAAAGTGCCATTGTTAATTGTTGGGTAATTATCCACTCCTTTGTCAAGTTGCCTCCATTTGAGCTCAGAACAAATTCCGTGAGGTTTAGCAACATAGATATGATGGGCTGAGCTGTGTTGTTTGATGGCCAGGAAACCTGAAGTTCTTTCATGACATTTATAACTCTGAAATAGAAAATGAACATTGTCAAGTTTCTCATGACTCTTTCATAAGAGATTTGTTGCATTTATTATTCATGTTCTATAATTCATGTTCAGAACCAGACCTGTTATAAACCTAAATATACTTGAATTAATTAAAAAGTGTACTATCCAAGTAGTAATAGAAGATGTTTATTGTAATAATGAAGACAGTATCGCACACAAAAGTAGTAGCTGTTCCGTGCTACCACACAGTCAGCGATTACAATACAGGTCCGGGCAAAGTAGGAGGGATCATACTAGTCTAGGCCACTCAGTGGTTCATGTAGGTTGTCTACAAACTGGAAGGTTGGTGGTTCAATCCCCGGTTCCACCTGACCAAGTGCCGAGGTGTCCATGAGCAAGACACCTAACCCCAGCTGCCTTGCATGGCTGACACCGCTGTCGGTGTATGAATGAATGAGTGAGTGAATGGGTGAATGTGAGGCAATATGTTAAGCGCTTTGGTGGCCATTGGGTCTGTGAAAGCGCTATATAAATGCAGTCCATTTACCATTTACTAGTCAAACGAACCAGATTTTGGAGGTCAAACGTGCTCCAGCACAGGCCCGGCTCCACGGGGGGGCCAGGGTGGGCCTGGCCCACCCAATCAGAAGCTTGGCCCACCCTGGCCCCACACCACATAACAATCACAAAATTGGTGCGATATTCAATTCAGCTCGAGATAGGCTACGTTATTTTCTATTTTCTACCCAACCCCCTCCTTTTTCCCTCCGAGAGTCCAGTGTTGCCAAATTAGCGCCTTTGTCGCTATTTTTAGAGACTTTTCAGACCCCTTTAGCGAAATTTTTTTCAAAAAAGCGACAAACCTCAGTATAACCTCCAAATGTTGCCAGTACTGTTCTGCGAGCGCGAGGTCTTGCTTTCTCCCTGTCGTCACTCTCTCTAGCTGCGTCTCCCCTGTTCAGTGAATGGCTGAGAGGAGCGCACGGCCGCTGACAGACGCGAATGAGCAGTGTTTTTCCATGGACTTATCACTTATCTGCTTTTCTTTTGTTATATTTAAAGAATTTAGTTTGACCATTTTAATTTTTATTTATTTTCTTTTGCTTATTACTTGTAACACTCACTATCACAGAGCTTAGTTCATCCGGTTCCCTAACTCTCTCAATTCAGATAATGTTCCACATAGGCCAATAAAAAATGTAATCATTCACTATATTATAGCTACTCGTTCTATTGTCTGACAACAAAAAAAATAGGAAATGAGAATAGCTTTATTTGACATTCGGGGTCACACGCAAGGTCTCTCGCTCGCTTTCCCTCTATGCCGTGCGCGCGCGCTACATGGTTTGGAGCACAATCTCTGTCTCTGGCGCTCGCTCTAGATTACGAGAGATTTTAACTAATTTGCGGCATAGCTACTCGATCACGAGTGGCTCAACAGGTAGATATATAGATACACTCATCTTCCAGGCATTTGACCGACCTGGGGTGCGTTTCCCAAAAGCATCGTTGGCCAACTATGATCGCAATTTCCATTGAACTCTATTCTAACGATGGAACTTGCGACCATAGTTGGGTTTGGGAAACGCACCCCAGGTTGACACTTCAGCGTGATAGATCGGGGGTGTGGCGTGTGAGCGTGTGAAACCAATCAAATGCGTGTGTCGCACGGCCAATGCGTGAGAGTTGGCAGCTCTGTATTAGTAGTTTATTAGTATATATATACACTACCGTTCAAAAGTTTGGGGTCGGTACGATTTTAAATACTTTTAAAAGAATTCTCTTCTGCTAACCATGGCTGCGCTTATTTGATTAAAAATACAACAAAAGCTGAATTTTCAGCATCACCAGTGTCAGTGTCTTCAGTGTCAAATGATCCTTCACAAATCAGTATAATATGAGGATTTGATGCTCAAGAAAATTTATTATTATTATCAATGTTGAAACAGTTGTTGGTCTGTCAGTTGTACAGTTTTTTTTTTTTTTTTAGGATTCTTTGATAAATAGGGTTAGGGTTAGAATCTTTTGTAACATTATAAATGTCTTTACTGTCACTTTCGATCAAATTAATTATTCCTTGATAAATAAAAGTATTGATTTCTTTCCTCCAAAAAATAAAAATAAAATTCTCACTGACCCCAAACTTTTAAACGGTAGTGTACATAAAGTTACTACATAGTTCCAAAATGTATACAAAAAATATTAAAAATGAAGAACATGTTAACATTTTTAGTTAGTAGTTGATGTAAATAGTTATTTTAAAAGATCTGCTCCTTTTTATCAAATCTATAGTTACTTAATTGAAACAAGATCTGTTAAGAGGTCAAAAAAAATATTACAAATGCAAAAAGAGAGAATGTAAAAATATATTATAAAAAAATGTAAAGAATGTAAAAATATATATAGTTACTAAATAGTTCCAAAATATGTACAAAAAAATATTAAAAATGAAGAAAAAACAAACACAACAATAACAAACAACCCTAACAATTGCCGTAAATGCATGTAATTAAAATTACTCAACACCCCCCCGACCGGCCCACCTGGAATGTCACTTGGCCCACCTTTCATCTCATATCTGGAGCCGGGCCTGCTCCAGCAAAGTTCAGATAGCCTTGTGTCAGTTTACCCTTATACACATATTGAAAGACAGAGATAGCCAGAATGATTTGGAAGAAATATATTGTCTGCACTTACACTTCATTCCATTTGTCAGGTCCACTAGGTTGGGAGATGGTCTTCAAATAGGTTAGAATGCCACTTGTGATGGGAACCAACACTTCAGCCGCCTCTTCTGGCAAAAGGGCATGAAGAGCTCCCTCTAGCATCTGGACAGTCTCTTGTGTGAGGCTGGTAGCTTGATTGTAGTTCATATTGGGGTTCAGGGTCAGCTGAAGTAAACCATTAAGAGCACCAAGAATATTGTCAACCACATCTTGAGGTAGAGCTCCAGTCTCATTAGACAGACTCTCCAGAACCACTCTCACAGCACTGATGACGGCTTCTGTGAAGTTTTCACTTTGGAGACCACCTTCAGTGCTAGCCACCTGTAGAGCATAGTTTACTCTCTGAGACACCTGTTCAGCAATTGAAATGATGATTTTTTCCTCAGGGTAGAGTAAGGGGGCCATGGCTTGCAGAAGCTGGTCAAGATCCACACCGGTTGCTGCAAGATCTACAGAACTAACATTCCCCTGGAAGACTGCCTCAAGTGCCATTGTCAGTTGTTGGTTAATGATCCAGTCATTTGTCATGTTGCCTTCATTTGGGCTCAGAAGGTTTTCTGTGACTTTTATCATCATTGATATGATGGGCTGAGCTGTGTTGTTAGATGGCAGGTAATTCTGAAGTTCTGTCATCACGTTTATAATGCTGAAAAAGAAAATCAGTAAACTGTCATCTTTCCTCCAAATATACATATAGGTACATATAGAAATGTAATTAGAAACTGAGAGTAAACAGAGAGAAAGAAAAAATATGCAACAAATATATAGTCTCTACACTTACAGTTCATTCCATTGATCAAATCCAGCAGGTTGGGAGATGTTTTTTAGATAGCTTAAAATGCTGTTTTTGATGGGAACCAACACCTCAGCCGCCTCTGCCGGTAAAAGGGCATGAATCACTCCTTCTACCATCTGGAGAGTTTCCTCTGTGAGGTTGCCAAGTTGAGCATAGCTCATATTGGGGTTCAGGATCAGCTGAAGTGAACTATTGAAAGCACCCAGAATTTTATCAACCACATCCTGAGATAGAGCTTCAGTCTCATTAGACAGACTCTCCAGAACCACTCTCACAGCACTGATGACTGCTTCTGTGAAGTTTTCACTTTGGAGACCACCATCAGTGCCAGCCAACTGCAGAGCATAGGTTAGTGTCTGAGACAACTGTTTGGAGACAGAAAGGAAAGCTCTTTCCTCCGGGGAGAGTAGGGGGGCAATGGCTTGCAAAAGCTGGTCAAGATTCACCCCAGTTGTTGCGAGATCTACAGTACTAACATTCCCCAGGAAGATTCTGGCAAGTGCAATTGTCAGTTGTTGGTTAATGATCCAGTCCTTCGTCAAGTTGCCTTCATTTGAGCTTAGAATGAATTCTGAGACCTTCATCAACGTGGATACAATAGGCTGAGCTGTGTTGTTCGATGGGAAGAAATTCTGAAATTCTTTCATCACATTGATAATGCTGAAAAATGAAAATCATCAAGACGGTTATGGAATCTTCCTACCTCTTTAGACATATACAGTCAATCGAAAAAGAGAGACACTTCACATGGAACAAATATATAAGAAAATAAGAAATAAACAATAATTTGGGAGTAATATAGTTTTGCACTTACAGTTCATTCCATATGTCGGATCCACCAGGTTGGGAGATGGTCTGGAAATAGGTGAGAATGCTTTTTGTGATGGGAACCAACACCTCTGCTGCCTCTGCTGGCAAAAGTGCATTAATCAGTCCCTCCACCCTCTGGACAGTCTCCTGTGTGAGGTTGCTAGCTTGAGCATAGCTCATATTGGTGTTCAAGATCAGCTGAAGGGTACCGTTAAAAGTGCTAAGAACATTTTCAACCACCCCCTGAGGTAGAACACCAATCTCATTATACATGCTCTCCAGAACCACTCTCACAGCACTGATGATGGCTTCGGTGAAGTTTTCATTTTGAAGACCACCATCAGTGCTAGCCACCTGTAGAGCGTAGTTTACTGCCTGAGAGACCTGGTCAACAACAGCAAGATACTCTCTCTCTTTAGGAGGGAGTAGGGGAATCATGGCTTGGAGGAGCTTCTCAAGATCCATCCCAGGTGTTGTGATATCTACAGAGCTCATTTCCCATTGGAAAATTCCTGCAAGTGCCGTTGTCACTTGTTGGTTAGTGATCCATTCCCTTGTCGAGCTGAGATAGCTCATGATCTGGGCTTCAATTTCAGCAGGAATACTAATGTTCATTGGGAAGCCAAGAGAATCGTAGAACGCCTGTTGAATCTCAAGGTTTCTTTTAATCAGTCCCAGCTCACCTTGCAACATAATCATAATTGTATTGGCAACTCGTACAAGATCTTCGCCTTCCAGAGGAAGCTGCACATGGGTCAAGTTCTGGATCTGATTCATCACCAGCGTCGCCATATCTGCCTCTGCATTGATGAGTGCCACTTGCATTTCTGTCATGTGTATCAGATGATTGAGAATCTCTGCAAACATACTGCCACTGGTGGCATTTCCAAGCTTGTTAAGATACCACAGTGTGATATCCACATACATCTTCTGTGCATACTGCCCCTGCGCCATCAATGTTGAGTTAATGGTGTGGTATGGATACTGTTCTCTGATTACCTTTTTCAAGAAGTCTTCTAGAATGTTTAAATCACTTGTAATATCAGTGATGTTCTCTACACCGAGACCCTGAAGGTTCTGTCTGATGGCTGACAGTGTTGTTATCAGCACCTCTTCTGTCAATGCAAGTGGGTCAGATCTGGAACTAGACATGTTACTTAGTTTCTGATACGCTACTACAGTGATGTTAAGCAGATCTTTAAGACTCATTTGAGCGTTCTCTGCTACAGGTATTATTTCAATTAAACCAGATGCACTCTGAATGAGCTGAAGGACACATTTGGCTTCTCCACTGGCAGGATGCCATTGTGGAAATTGTGTGGTTTGAGTGTTCAGGCATTGTGGGATTTGAACGGCCATATTCAGAGTCTGCAGTATGGACGCTGACCATCTATAATGAATTGTAGAATTGATTTGTACTAATTCAAAAATGGTGAGATTGGAGGCTTGTAGTCCTTGACTGATGTTGAAAACAGGAGATGCATAAGCCTGCTCGAGAAGATGTTGAACCTTCCTCACAATTTCCATAGAGGCTTCTGCTGGCTGGGACATGTTCCATGGCAGGAACAGAGTGAGCACATCAACCACAACAGGGAGAGTCATGTTTCCCCTAAGAGGTGTTATTTGGATGGTGATATTATTTCCAAATGCAAGCATTGCTCCGAGAAAATCAAATACATTCTGGATATCAGCAACACAGTGCTGGCCAAGAGCTGAACAGATCTCCAGATCTCGAATGAGGACATGAGTCTTATTTAACCCTGCTTCTAACTGATACTGCTGCTCTGGAGGCAAAATGGCTCCAAGTTGGCTCAAAATTGTGTGAAGAACTGCAAAACCCTCCTCATTGTTTAGCATCTGGATGGACCCATTGTTCAAGAACTGAAGAACGTCCATGATCACTGGTTGAAGGCTGGTTGTCTGGGATCCTCCTGACAACAGGTTCTCTATCTGCCCCAGTCCAAGAGCCGCCATGATGTCATTTAACAGATTGAGTGAAAGTTGAGTGTCAAACTGCTGTGTGGACTCAATGTTTGAGAGGAGCTGAATTTCTTTTTCAACTGTATTAATGAGGTTCAGCAACAAGTCTTGTAGTGAAATGTCACTACCAAGCAGTTGATTAGGTATGCTGTTTACAAGGACTTGTTTCAAAAGTGCCATGTAACTGTTTTGGAGGAAAGCCACTGTTCCCTGGAGAGGTCTAAAATCAGAATAAAAATTGTCTGTATTACAGTGGAAATTAGTCTATAACAAAAAAATATATATACATACGGGTCTTCTTATGCAGTTTAATATATTTTGAATATCATGATTCATGAATGCACATAGTAGTAGAGGAGGTAAATATTACTTTCGTATCAATAAATATTTTGCAGTAAACAATCACTACCTTAGCAGGCTGTCAGGTTCAGAGATCACTTCAGATATCAAAGAATGAATCAGTGGAACAGATGTTTCCCATGTAAAGCCGGTCTGACAGGTGAAGGTAAATGAAGTGCCTGCAAAAATGTGAGCATAATTCACTGCATATTATTCATAGTTTTTTGTATATTAATTATAATTTTGTTTAAATAAATAAAATTACAATCAAGCAATAACTTCAGGAATTTCACAATGATGTTAGGTTATAAAATAATTGCAAATTATAACACTTTTCAGTACATTGTCAAAGTTATATTTAAGTCATATCTATAAAACTGGCAACAAATGTTAACTTATAAATATACTATTGTTTATTGTTATTTCATGTTTATTCGAAATACATTAATTTAAATTTATACAGCTTAACTACTTATATAATGTAATTATAATTCAACATAAGAAAAATAATTTATTAAAAACCGATAAAAAATAATAATTAAAACCAGTCTAGATTAATAAATGATGTAAAAAGATTACTCATCATTATAAAATTAATAGCAACAACTATGTTAAATCATATAATTCCACAACATAACCAGATATTAAGAACCAAGTCTACTGATTGATCATAGATTTGTAATTTTTTGACACTCACAGTTTGGTGATACAGTGGCGTTTGGTTGGTAGGTCAAAATCCAATAAGCTATTTGAAAATATGGTTCCATGGAGGGCCACAGAGAGCTCTTCTCTAGCAGAGAACCCATGGTCTCAAGTGCATCAGTACCCCTGTATCACAAGAAATTAAAATGCAAATAAACATGTAAATTGCCCTGAAATGTGTTTCTATGGGGACTGTAATAGTTTGGTTCACTATTTGATGTAATTCTCAACAAAAAACATCCTGATCACATAGCAGAAATTGAACAATAAGTAGGTTACTGACCTGGTCAACAGAATCTGGTCCAAACCAACTGAAATGTTCCCTGGGATCCAAGCAACAAAATATTCCTCATTAAGCTCAGTTTGCAAGTTCTGAAGGGCAGAGCCATACTGCTGGGAGGTTGTGTATAGACTGTGCCACTCCGCCATAAGAATGGAGGGTGTGACGTTGTACATTACAGTTCCATTTACTACACCAACCAACTGTTGGACCTGTGAAAACATTTTTAGTAATAATCATTAATTTCCATTTTTTGTCAAATAGTAACAAAGCTTGAATCTGCAAATCACTTCAAAACACATCCCTTTACCTTCTCGATTACAGGCAAAAGTGGTGTAAAGAGTATTTGCTGAAGACTTGTGTCATTCCCAGAGCAAACTAGAGTGCCCCATAACTGAGGGTCTATAGAGCTGTATGTTGACATCCAAGCCCAGGGAGCAGAAAGTTCTCTGCAGCTAGTGTGACCTTCTAGAACCTGTATGAAAAAATTAGGGGACATCCAATCTGGCAAATGAAGTCTTTAATGCAAACTACATAAAAAAAAATTTTTTAACCCACCTTGGCCACTGTTTGCACAATAGAGTCCATGCCATGGTCAGCCCAGGCCTTAGCAAATGTCTCATTCTGCATTAGAGAAAGGAAGACCTCCTGGACATACTTGGCATCCCCCAGGATCACATCAATGAATTCTGTGAAACAGATAATGATAAATCAGATGAACTACTGTATGTGGCTAGCATTGGAAATTGTTTTCATATCATAATTTTCTTCACATGCTGATACATACGTAGCTGTGCTTCCATTGCAACTCTTGCCACCTGCATGGATGAATGGCCACCCATCATTAAAGTCTGAATGTATTCCCAGCCTGGCATCCCTTGTAGAAAATCAAATGCTGTACTGCCTAATCCGAAGATTCTGTAGGGGGTGTGTGGGGTTTTTGGGTGATAAATAGGGTGGATTTTAGGTTCAACTTTAAAAACAGATTTCTTTTTTTCATTCAGATGTCAGATGAACCAGCAGGAAGTGGCAGTGAGAATAAAATTAACAAAAGTTTTACAATAACCTTTTTTCGTTTTTATGACAAACACTAGGCTATAGGCTGTAGATTTCTCTCGCTAAACCAGCAGTAACAAGTGTTTGTTTGTTTGTTTGTTTGTTTGTTTAATGCCATGCCAGCTTCTGTTGCCAAACTATATCAGGTTTTTCAAATCTATTTTTTGCTAAAAACAATTGCTCCATGTAGGTGCTCTATGCTATTCAAGCACAAAGTCACCTCTCACTTATCAAACCAGATTCTGCAGATGCCACCATAGACAGATTGCGTGACATGCACTCATTCTCAAAAAACAACCAAAAATATGCAAATAAAAACGGGTTATATACTTTCATGGTTCATGGTACTATTTGTTACAGAAAAACAGATCAATCTCATTACTGCATATAACTCCATCTAAACAGATGCAAATAGTCTAGGTTGACATACAATTGTTCCCCTAGGCTCTGTGGCTGAGCGTCACTGCTGCGCTGCGACCTGCTGTGTTTGAGAAGAGCATCCATGCTCGATGGAGAGACTAGGCCCAGCAAGCTGTCGAACACCTCCTTAGTGAAGGCCAGGTCTGCAGAGGCAGAGGTCTGACTCCAGGCCAACAGCACCTGCAGGGAGCACATGCAGGCATGAGACATGAAAATGTTATTGGTCTGGTCATTTACAATATTAAAATATCATGCAAAATTGAAATGAATGCAAATGACATATGCAAGAAGTGGGTTTGCTCAAAATATATCAACAATTTTTTATTTTTTTATTTCAAGCAACTTTACAGGAAGTTATTCGGTCAACAAAAGTAGGTCAACTAGCCTCAAAACGTGCATGTATTATTTTTTTAATCACCCTAAATGAATATGATTAATTAACAGTCCTACTAAATACTCAGCATGGCATTTGTCATATGAACATGTCACATGCCTTTTGAATGCAAAATCATGGTGATAGGATATTGTTGTGGAGTCCCCTCTGAGGTGAGGGGACTATCTAATTGGGGCTCCCTGGAGGCTTGCTCTATATACATACTTTTTATGCAATCAGCCTCAGTGCGGCTAGCGTGCTGTTTTGTATTTAGACTGAGCTGGTTTCCAAGGTAACATGCATAGCTGATGTTTGTGTGTTTTCCCACAAGACAGCAGGTAAGTAGGAGGAACCACAATTGAGAATTTCTCACCCTACAACAGGTTATTTTTTAGGTTATAAAGCAGATATTAATAGATACTGATATGTATCTGAGAAACTTACCTGTTCAACAACCTTCCACGTATTAATCCCTTGAAATATCTGGCCCACTTCCCAGCTCCAACAATAGGAGGCGAGAATGTTTTGGTCACACAAAAAGGTACGAAAGTCTTCCTCATTTAGCAGCACAAGAATCTGAGAAGGACACAATATGTGTGAGTGTGAATGAGTGTGTAGTAATTTGTGTGTGTTTATATAAACTACTAATCTTTAAACAAAGTAAAACAGTCCGACATCGAATTCTTCCCTACTATATAGCACGCGAAAAAAAACAGTAGGCGAAAAGTCCCCGGACGACCTACTACTTCCGGCAGGATTCTGAAGTGTGCATTCGATGGACACCTTACTATCCCATGAGGCCACGGGAGAAAATTAATGAATGGAGGTGAAGCGACGCAACTGACGCTGGTGGGTCACATGTTAATGACAACATGGCGAATGTAGTACGTACGGGTTACATTCATTCTACGCATTCATACCATATAGAACATACATTTTAACGATCTAGAAGTAAGTTTAAAATCAAATGTAGTAACTACTCGGATAGTACGCGATTTAGGACACACTGTTGGTCTCTCCCAAAACAAAAAAATAAAGAAATTTTGCAGAAATTTTGCTAATGTGACCGCATCTTTAGAGTATCATGTTGTTGTGAGCGTAGCAACATGTTATCGCCAAATTCTGCTCAAACTGAAACACAAACTGAATAAAGACTTTTGCCAAAATTGTCAACATATAAAAAAATCCATGAAATGCTGAGAATAAATACTAAAAAGTCATACAATAACTAAATGCATGAATCAAGTTTAATGTTAGAGGATCATGTTGTTGTTAAATTAGCAACATGCTAACATCAAACTCTCCTGAAATATGCTGAAATATAAAATGAATAAGGAAGGTAAATTTCACATGTGTAAACAGAATATTTGTTATGTGCATATTTAATGAATATAAAATGCTTATTAAGAAATTAGCCTTAGTGTTTAAATGTTTAAAATTTCCACCACAGAATAATACGCACATCATTTGAGATGTGGTGGAAATGTTCATAACTTTTAAAGGAAACAAAAGGCAGACAATTCTCTTTGATACACGCCTATACAGTTGATGTAGAAGCGCTCATATTTTGAACAAAGAACCGGCATTGAGAAACCAAGAGAGGCCTACCTTGTCTAGAGGGATCTGGGTTTGGTTGATAAGGTTCTTTATGTCTGAGCTGAGTACAACAATGCTGCTTGGGCTCATAACATCACTCAGTTTGACATTCACATCTATATAAAACAAGAGAAAAATGTGATTGCACTTTTGACCAACACGTGAGAGTTCTTGTGCGAGTATGCAGGCAGGCAGCTTTCTAAAGCACTTGAAAGTTGAACGTTAATTCACACACCACCAGAGTCTTTGCAAAAGATTTGTAAAAAAAATGACTGTTTTCAAAAAGGTTTCCTGAACACTCCTGCCAATAGTCAAACAACCAAGCCCGAAACCAAGCCCCATACCTTTGGTTGAAATCAACCTATGAATGGCTCTCATATGCATATCTGTAATGGTCACCAGCTGGAGTGCCCTTGAAAGCCACCAGAGGGCACTCCACAGCTGACTGTTGTCATTCCCTCACAAACTACATCTCCCATAGTTCTCTGCCTGGACTCATTACAACTCATTGTTTTCACCTGTGTCTCATCTTCTTGTTTGCTCACCCTATTAAAGCCTGGTTCTTTCTGTCATTCCCTGCGAAGTCTTGTTTTGTGTCACACCGCAATTCCGAGCATTCTCCCTGGTTTCGTGTCTCTGGGTTTTTGGATTTCTTGCCTGTTCCGTGGATTACTCTTTTGCCCGTGTTCCCTGCCTTGTTGTGATTGTTTGTTTGTGTATGACCCTTGCCTTGATTTGGATTACAATTGTGAATAACCCTTTAAATAAATACTGCATTTGGAACCTCAACCTTCGTGTCTCAGAGTAGTGATGGCAAGATGAGGCTTCCTGAACCACTGAGACCTCGCAGGCCATTGCTTCACCCAAAGGTTCATTACTCGAAGCTTCATTCAGCATTGCTCACTAGTGACACCTAGCTACTGTGCAAAGAAATAGCAGACAAATTAATTCATTCTGAACCAATGACCCGCCCCCCTCCCGCTCTGTTTTATTTATTTATTTATCTTCTTCTCACTGTTAATGTCTCTGTAACCTTTTATTTGCAATAATAAAGAGATCTGTGCAGACATTTGTCCATTGCCTGGGTATGAAATAAAACGTGTATCTTTCTCTGTCTGCATTTACTTGTACAGAGACAACTGTCACACACACAATTAATTAATTATTCAGAAAAAAATTGGATAGTGACAGTATGAACAACAAAAGTGACTGTGTTGAGTGCAGTGCTTATGGTGGAGGGACTCGAGGTAGTGTAATAAAGTAAACTGCAGTAAACACTGCAGTTTGGGGTGGATGAAGGAAGGATTACAATAGATTTTTATTGAGAAAATGAATTTTTTGAAGTGTGTTGGGGTTTAGACAATTCCTTTTCTTGGACAAAACCTCTCCAGCCTTGGAAAAATATCCTTTCACAAGGAACAGAGGATGTCAGTGCCAGCGGGTATACATGAAGATACTGATGCTTCTGTTGAGCCCAGACAGGGGAGGATTTCCTCTTTCTTGCTTGCTCCATTACCATGAAAAAGGAAGATGTCATAAAAAGCAAACAAATCCAAAAGGGCAATCCAAAACAAAAAGCAGTCCAGTCCAGATCCAAAAATCCAAAGCAATCGAAATAATCTTATCTAATTAATATAACAAGACTATAATATAGCTACTATATTTGATAATAACAATTATTAATAATTATTAATAACTATTCTAACCTGATATAGTGTAATAATATACAGCCCTAACACATATATGACACAATAACGACAATGAGATTTCTCTAACTCTGACTCTCGCGAGTTTCGACCCCCTTTATCCGGAAGCGACACTCAGACCGAACCGATGACGTTGGCCCTGTCCCAAATGGCACACTTCATGTGCACTTTCGGTCTTGTGGACTTACAATGGCTGCCGCGTGCGCGTGTCCGTTAAGTCCGTGAGACCGTCGTGTGTCCCATTTGTCATTTTTAGATCTCAGAAGGGTGCTCGCGAGCGCCCCCTCTGCGGTCGATTTGCGCCCTTGATGCGCACTTTTGCCGAGCCCGCGCTGATGCGGACTCCACAGCAGACTTCTTCCCGACATTCAAAGCGGCGTTACGTCGCGAAAGTGCGGACTCACCAGAGGAAGACCGCGAGTGCTTAGGGTTCCATTTGGGACAGGGCATTCTTCACACAAACCGAGGCCTCGTTTGTCATTAGTCACGTGATTTTCACGTTAACAACACAAGCCTCGAATCGCGGCTTCATCTGGCACGCCTATTTTTTCTCGACACAAGCTCCGACGCCTCGGTTCAAATGTCACATCACTATCTCAGAGCAGTTCGTGACAATATCTGTGCATATTAAACAGGGATCAAAATAATAAGTTCTCAAACTAATAAAATCCATTAAAAACTCCACTTAGCTTTCTTCTATGACAACATAATTGTAATGTGATAATACTTTTTCACAATGCCAAGTAGGATATTCACCTTCATTTAAGGCTGTGGTGCACATAGAACAAGGCTGTCCAAACAGGTTTTGACAATAGAACATTGGTCTCTAAATCCCCTAATGATCAACATCTCCCCCAAGATAGTAAGGAACCTGGCAGTGTTCAATGGTTTAAACCAACAATTGTCAGCTTAACAACCTTTTCTGGTTATCCTTATCCATTGAAAAAACTCATCCAACCTTGTACAAACTTGACACGTAAATAGCCACTTTACTGGCATTTGATATCAATGATATACCAAATGCTGTTTTTTGTGCATTCAAGTTTAAATACTATATTGTTAGATTTTGCTGTATTTGTATTTAGCCAAGCGGTCGTTTGGGTGGCTCGCCAATGTATTCGATTTCTCTAATATATAAAACAAGTATGTTTGACCAGAGTTCGTGTGGGGAGAAAATAAGGTGTGTAGTGTAGCAGTTCTTCAGCAGCGATGTTAGCTTGCCGTTCTTCAAAAATCTTAACCCAAACAGAGATTCAATACTCAATATTTGTGTGGGCCGTCTGGCCTACACCTATCCGTTCCTATGGGCCATTTGGTTCACATCTTTACAGACATGGTTTCATCTTGAGGCACAGTAACAAAGTAAATGCATCTGACTAGTTAACTGAAATACAGCATCTTTCAGTATGCATTTGAATATTAGTTTGTATATATATATATATATATATTAGTGCTGGACAAGTTAACGCGTTATTATCGCGTGAACGCATTTATTAATTAATGCCGACAATTTTTTTATCGCGCGTTAACGCAGAGGTTTTTTTTTATTTTATTTTGAAAGTCCGTTGCTCGCTGCCTCTGAATACACATAGGCCTACAGTCAAACCATGATCACAGGAGGGGTGGGATGTTGGTCAGCCAGCAAATAACCCACCCAAACAAGCAGTGGAGAGGCTTTGGCAGGTTCTCTCAGGTGAACAGAAAGGGAGACAGCGCTCCGCGAGTGAATGACAGGCGCTCTATGGATAGTAACCATGGCACCGGCTTCTGTGCGCTACGCAGCTGTAGCCTTTTTAACTTAAATTAAAATTATACATAACTTTACCTGATAGGCCTGCGTTTAGTTTAGCGGGGATGCTCTGCCATGTGAATTCCCTCCTGTTGATGTCCTGATAACTATTTAGATTCTGGAAACTCACAAACAGCGAGCCGAGGATCAGTCTCTCTTCCAATGATTTGTGCTGCGCGTCGTGTACAAAAAGTTAGACAGTTCAACTTCGGCAACGCGCGGGCGCGTGCGTGAGGCGAGCATGACCGCAACAGTTTCACAGGAACGCACCCGCTTGTCGCTGCACCTGTGCTCGACCACTTCACCTCACTCGTCACTCTAGGCTGATTTATACTTCTGCGTCGGACCTACACCGGAGCCTCTCTACGCTATAGACTACGCGTTGGTTTTCATTTATATATCTGCGTCGTTGTCCGCGTTGACGCGCAATTACACATGAGGGAGAGTGTGAAACCCGGGGAGCGGTTCTAGCAATCACAGCGCTTGCGGTACGCGTAGAATTGACGTTACATTTTTGGAGAGATGCACGTCAGGGTACGCGCGCTACACAGCTACGGCGTGAGTTCGATGCAGAAGTATAAATTGGGCTTTACCTCTGTTTAATGTAATCTTACGTGGGAAACCATGGCATGCCATGACCAAACCTAAGCTGCTATCAGAGAAGTAACGTTGGTCGACTTATATCTGTAGTAGTGATCATGACCCTTTGACTACATAGACTGTTTCTGCTACTCCCTGATACAAGATACCTGTTCAGAAAAAAAGAAAACTGGACTCGTTTTAACAAGCTAGATAAAAGGTAATGCCCTGGCAGTGGCAAATAGCTTTGTTTAAATATTTGATTTGATTACATTAATGTTTAAGTTGAGATTTACAAGAAATATTTTATTGATACTGTGTAAAGGGAATACTGCTGGTATAAAAGCACCTTATTTGTTTAAAGTTTTTGCAAACCACATGTTATTGCACTTTTGTAGCAGTACATTTAAATCAAAAGTGCGCAATACACTACTAGAATTCATTATTCAATTTTGCGCGTAACAATGCTATTAATCGCGATTAATCGCAAGAAAATCATGCGATTAATCGCGATTAAATTTTTTAATCGTTGCCCAGCACTAATATATATATATATATATATATATATACAGTATATATACAGCCTGTGAGTGCCAATACAAGTGGAAAACATTTGAAACTACATTCAACTTAAATTAAAAGGAATTAGCATGTACTCACTAAGTAATTAAGAGAATGATGATAGCACTTAACAATAGATTACCACAAATACCATGCATGCAGTTCACAAAACAAGTTCAGCAAGTCAACTTCAGCATACCTCTCCCTTTCCATTCACCCATGTAGTTGAGAATGCCGATGCCTTTATTGATGACTGGGTTTGTGGCAGCAGTAGAGATGTTGGCCTGTGGGAAAGTCCTCTGGAGGAATGTCAAGGCACTAATTGAAAATAAATAAAGAGAGGCTGAGATTCTTTGAAACTAGTCAAAACAACAAACATTACACATAATTCACACGTAATGGGAATGTGCAGTGTTGTGGATATAAACATCAAACTGACTTTCAAAATCCAAGCAGAGCACCTACATCAACGAAGATATACAGAATATCCAGAACCCTAATGTCTGAACTAACCTATTTTATCACTTGCACTTCTTAATTTACACAGTCGTTCAAAAGTTTGGGGTCAGTAAGATTGTTAAATGTTTCTGGGGAAAAAATGTCACTTATCCTCAGCAAAGCTGCATTTATTTATTTATTTGATCAAAAATACAATGTTTCTTATTCTGAATTTTATTTATTCCTGTGATGGCATAGGAATTACAGTGTCACATTCTGATTGATCCCTCAGAAATCATTCTAATATGCTGATTTGAGGATCAAAAAACATTTCTTATTATTACCAATGTTGAAAACAGTTGTGCATTTTTGTTTTAGGATTATCTGATCAATTGAAAGTTCAAAAGAACAGAATTTATTTGAAATAAAAAACTTTTGTAACATTATAAATGTCTTTACCGTCACTTTTACTCAATTCAATGCATGCTTGCTGAATAAAAATTATAATTTCTTTCAAAAAGAAAAGATTCTTAATAACCCCAAATCTGTGAATGAACTTATGTGCGATATGACCACAATTTTATTTGAACACTATTTTCCTCAAAACTCACTTCTTAAGATTCTCCAATTCCCCTGCCCCAGATTTTAGTTTCTCTTTATCTGTGGGCTTCAGGAAAAGATCTGGCAGGCCAAGCATGAAGTCCCACACTGACGTCTCCTGTTGAAGTCTATCTAGGACCACCACAGTCCCTCCAATCATTTCCAACACTTCTGCCGGGTTATTGAGCAGCATTTCTGTCAGTACCTGGTGACCCACACAAGTCATCAGATAAACATAAAAGCCATGATGTCTAAGGATTCATTTAAATGACACTTTCATTTGATATTCGTGGGCATAAAGAGACTAGACTGAAAGATTGTGAACAGTGTGGGAGGTCTGACCCACCTGGCTCAGGGTTAGTAAGGATGCTTCTAGAACCGTGTCATTAGAACTGCAGAAGTTTATTAAGCCTTGTGTGAAGAGATCGTGGGTCCCGGCTGATGTGTTGATGGCAGTCATGAAGAAACTGCATAAGGACTTTTTCAGAATGTTCACTGACTCCCAAACAGGTTCCATTGTCTACAACAAAGAGTGAAAAAAACAAACATTTTAATAACCAGCCATTTCCTTGTTTGTTGTTGCATGAGTCAAGCCAAGATATTCATGTAACCATATTGCATGAAAAATATACAGAAACATTTAAACTATAATGATTACCTTTTAATGGACCATCACAACAAACATTGAATTTTACAAACATTTCTATTACAATTTTTTTTTACAGTAGATGTATTTTTGTATATTAATAACTATAACTATAACTATAAAAACTATAAATTAATTAACCTTTTACATATTATCTCTTATAAATAAAATAAAATAAAATAAAATAAAATAAAATAAAACAAAATTAAATTAAATTAAATTAAACGTGAGGAATTTTTTAAATGTGGTATATGTACACAAGATACATGGATACATCAAGATTACAAAAAACACAAACCTGATCTGTGTTGTTAAAAGCTTGCATGACGGAAGTCACATTGGGAATGTTTTGAAGGCTGGAATCTTTACAAAAAAAATGTAAACAACAGTTAAAAAACATAGAAACGGATTAATTGTATTTATTTTTGTGGCGTTGTATTAAATGACTAAAGATAATTTACATACTGAGCATCCTGTCCCATATCTCCAGGAGCTCTGGATGATCTGATGTCTCCCTTTTCAGGATTGAGTGAACCAGACCTCCCTTCTCTAGATGGGCCAGTGGAGGTAAACCATGGAGCAGTCCTGGTAGACTAAAATAAAACAGGACCATGGATGATATATACAAGAATTCTAGTTATTTTTTTAAAGAATAATCTATAGTTTTGTTACTTAAAGTGTAGCAAATTGTTATATTATACTACAGTTATATAACATGTGATTATGTACTCAACAAAGACATGGTTATGTAAATGCTGACGTCTTCAAGCCAACACATAAAAGAAACAGGATAGACAGATTTTTTCAAAAGCCCATGTCACAGTGAAAGATGGATCATTACTTAAAGATAAGCACTAGGTGAAGGATTACGAAAACAAATCATGTGAATTTAAACCCTCATTGAGGTATGAGCTGGTAGTGAGTTTGTACAGTGGGTACACAAAGAAATGTAATTAATAAGAGGAAGCAAAAAGAGGAATGCCACCATGGGAGTTTCTGCCCTACCTCCCTCTTTTTTTTATATCTATGGAATGTTTAAATTCACTCATGAAATGTTCTGTGGTTTATGTTAAAGCATAGTAAATCTAAACTAACAAACCTTATTGTTAAATAGAATTTTACTTTACTTTATTGAGGCAGTGCCACTTCATTTTTTTTTTTCATTCTTTAACCTTATACTTTAATTCAGTTCACTGACGTTAGTATAATATTAAAGTTTTTGATCTGGAGGCAAGAAGAGCAAATGTTAACCTAAATGTACGGAAAAGAGCAGCTTTGACATTTTTACTCCTTTTGAGTTTCACAGAAAAACAAGTTTCAAACAATATGACAATATGTACATGACAGAATTAAATTTAAACCAAGTGATCTTGACTGAACTGATCGAATTATAACAATGAATAAGTGATTTCTACTACTAACGTTTTAACTATAATCATTCAATTTATTATCAATTTTTTTTTTTTTTTTAAGTAGCAGGATTCAAGCCTACTTGGCTCAAAAATCTAAAGAGGCACATGACTCACCAAACAAACATTTGCAACAATGACGAAAGATTTTGACTGTTGACTCAACATGGACATTATACACACTGCAGTAAAGAACTGGTGTGGAACAATGGGTTTGGTAAATATTCCTCTGTTAAACAGCCAAACACTTTTGCAAATCATCTGGCCAAACAAGGGTATTCTTAGCTTTATAAATACTGAATACACTATACTTTATGAATACTGAGGCAAAGGGGATAGCGATGTCACGGGAGGTGCAGTATTCTGCCATGAGATCCATTATTATCTCATCAGTGATGCATCCAAACACAGGTGAACTGAGCCATCTTTATCAGACATCTAAGGCACGTGACATTAATGTGCTGGGTCACAAATATCACCAATAATGTGCACATCTGATCATCATAGCACAACCAATATGGAATTCAAAACAAAAACAGACTTGAGGCTTTCTAAGAAAATGGTGCTACATGAAACAAGTTTGTGGGGGAGAAAATGTTTCTGGAAATGTGTTAGATTCAGACCTGTGAGATTCAGCATCCCTGCGGCGACGATGACCTGTGTACCAGTTCGATTTGGACTGTCCCTCATTTAGGTAAGATTTGCCGGTGCACGCAGTGTCGGTGCTACACATGAGGGTCTGCAGGAAAGGGAAAAATCCGGTGCTCGGAAGGTTTTTCGGTGCCACATAGCCTGAAAGAAACAGTGCAGAGTTACATTTTAATGCTCAGAGGTTCGTTTTTTTCATTGTTAAGGATAGCCCATGATGTCTTGTTGAACAGTTTTACTTCTTGTGTTGACATATTTCCCACTGAAACAGGACATATCAAATTCATAATTTGCCACTTGCTATTGCTAGATGATGGCAGGTGGTATAAGTGGGGACATTCTCATTCTAGAGACATTTAATTGGACAGAAACGTGTATACGTCCCTGAGGGAAAGATGAGTCACCAATATTTTTAGTCTGCTTTCCAGGAAGAGAAAGACTGTACATTTTAAATGCATATGTGCTAAAAGTTTTTTTTTTTTTATGTCAACATGGTAGTACTACATATGACCTCAAATCTAATCGGATTTGGACTAAAAGGGGAGAAAAAGAGCATGTATCTCTTAAAACTTAGGAGAAATAAATATGCAATGAGACATTTATATTTGTAAGAATATAGACAATAAAATAAATGAATGCAACTAGTATCCACCTTTGCCCCATGATGCCTTGCAAAATTACTTTAATTAAAGCTGCAGTCGACAAGTCTGGCAGATTGAGTGGACTTAAGCCTAGTTCACACTACAGGATTTAAAAATATCGGGCTGAACTGTGCGGTTCACACTACATGACTTGCTCTCTGTGAATTCAGGAGTGTTCAAGTTGTTGAGCTTAAATTAAGTCATCAAAATTAAACTTAAAAGTGAAAGTATAAATTATCATCAGCAGACCATGAACTAGCCCAAAAGCTCAAATGAGTCTGCAGCAATGTTAAAGATATACAAATACGGATTACGTAAAATATATAGTGTTAATATATACATATATATATATATATATATATTAACTGTGTTAATATATATAAGTCTATATTACTTAACATACATGTATGTTGCATGAATGAAACATTTTCTATTGTTAACTAGAACACTGATGGATATTTCAAAGTGCTTTGCATCATTTTGACAGATAACAAATAAGGGTAAGATTACTTTAGTTTAGGGTCCAATTCTCACTATTAACTAGTTGCTTTGCTTATTAGCATGCATATTACAAGGATATTGGTTGTTAATTAGTAATTATAAAGCACATATTAATGCCTTATTCTGCATGACCATATTCTACATCCCTTAATCCTTCCCAATACCTAAACTTAACAACTACCAGTTACTAACTATTTATAACCAGTAATTAGGAGTTTATTGAGGCAAAATTCATAGTTAATAGTTCGTTAATCGTGAGAATTGGATCCTAATCTAAAGTGTGACCCAAATATTGTATTTCTCTGCTTTAGAAACATTCTAGTTAACACTGCTGAAAGGGATTTGTGGAAGTGACAGCAATAATTTAAAAAGGAGTAGACTCATTGGGAAAAAGTTGATAGTGTAATATTTGCTTGTGGGTGATCTTTGGGATTCAATCCTAAGGAAACTTCAAGAATATAGAAATAAAACCCTCGGACACTGACAATTTCTTATTTCTACTTTTTTCTCTCCTTCCACTCTCTGCATATATACCCCCGTCATAAATAGATACTGCTGAATTGACATCAAATATTCAAATATAACATCAGCTTTCATATTTTACATAATGTAATAAACTTTTAACTCTTACAATAGCCCACATAATTTTGTCTTGAAGTAAAGCTCATATTGAAGTCTTAGATATATCTGATTGCCGACTACAGTCTCTGTTTGACCTCTGAAATTCTAAGAGGAGGTACTTTTCCTCAGGAAAAAAAAAAAATCATTTTCGCATTGCTGTCTGGGGAAAAACATATGAGATCTCAATCATGTTTTTCTCAACCTGGGTTGTTTTTTCTTTTTTCTAGGGGAGGGAGAATGTTTGTTTTTACTGTCTGGTTTTATGGTTTAGGACTTTCAATGGCAATATACCATGTTTGATTTCGTCAGTTCTTAGAAACAAACACAATGCCATGATTCAAAACATACATTACTATAGACTAAGAGTGACCACTTAAAAGGATTATTTTAGGATTATTGACCTTATGCAATGTTTGTCCAGCAAATAGTGTTTGAATGAACCAAAACCATAGAGAAACCATAGAGATTGATATAAAATAAACATGACATTAGCTACTTGGGGTGTGCCAAGCATACAAATGATTTGATCGCTGCAACTTCCTGAAACATACAGAGAAGGTATTATTAAAGGAAAAGTTTGTCATTTACACACCCTCAAGTTGTTCCAAACCTGTACGAATTTCTTTTTTCTGCTAAACACAAAAGAAGATATTTTGAAGAATGTTGGTAACCAGACAGTTGATGAAACAGTTGATGGTCCCCATTGACCTCCAAAGTATGGAAAATACTATGGAAGTCAATGGGGACCATCAACTGTTTCATCAACTTGAGGGTGAGTAAATAATGACAGAATTTACATTTTTGGTTGAACTATCCCTTTAACATGAGGAAATACTAACAAGGACTGTTGCATTCACCCTCTGGTTCTGTTTGTGTGGAGGTCAAAAATTACAGATTAAAAAAAAACTATATTTTAGTGTGATTATGTTTTTATGTATTTAATGTATTTATGTAATAGTTATGATCAATTTATTACATGTTAATCACTTATTGAACATAGACCTGAAAATGACATTTTAAAAAAAGTTAAACAAAAAAACATTAGATAAGATTACAACTGTGACTTTTTTTTCAGGACCATTTAACCTTTATGAATCAGAATCATATCCATGATTTTTTTGTTTTTTTGTTATTCACATAGCAAGTGTCAAAACCTTTACCAAGTTTCATACCATTCCGATAAAGTAAAAAATTCAAACCAAATGAATGAACAGCACCAGAGGGTTCAGTTAATCATCAATAAATTTTAATTTAATAACAAAAGCGATTTTATCATATCCAAATGTTGTTTATTCAGCCATTACAGATTTTTAAAAATATACTAGGATAGATGACAATCCATCATATTTCATTAATTTACTCTTTATAGGGAAAAGGGCGGCCAGGATATTACCTTAAATATTCTCATCATATTAGTTTTTCTTTTAACAATAAAAACAGCACCTACAAAATATACTTTTTTGTTTACTTATCTATACATCTCTCCTATATGCAAATATCAAGGAAAACACACCAACTAGAATTAGTGGGGGTCAGAATAGATTACCTCTGAGGTTAAGCACTTGTTTTCTCACATTATCAAATGAGTTTCTTATGGATGCATATATACAATTAGACAAACACTGAATCTGCCTGTGCAGAACATTGCAAGGCATAAGGGAGCTACTCACGGGAAGGACCAGGCCTAACAACCCAATCCTCCAAAGAGAGATGTGAAATAACAGAAAACTCCCAAAGGACAGTCAGCTTAAAGGGAAAGGTTGCATACAAATCTGAGAATATGTATTTTTATCCCATATCATAGTTAAAGGAACCTGGAGGCAGACGGATAATGTAAAACATTGGAGATTAGCTGCTGGGCATCCATTACGTAGAAATAAGACACTAGTCTAGAACATTCCCAAGCAATGGGGTGGATAACATCAAATGTGCTCAAGAGATCTGTGGCATCAGCCTGCTTAAGATCTGCACCATATTGCACATATTTAAATAGGAAGGAAAACTTGTTCAGCAGCATATCTCCATCAAACCACGAATCAAACCATCAGCAATGTTACTGTTCCTTGCAGATGAGCAGACCCGCTTTCGAGTAGGGAAGTTACAGTACACTAAGTGCAATGACGGTCCCCATGGGCTAACCTGAGGTTAAGTGTTTTGCTCAAGGACATAATAGTAATAAAGCAGGATTGTGATCTCAGTAACTCCACAGGTTCTGACTCAGACCTTCTCAGGATTGAAACCACAAACCTTTATATAGAAGCCCAGAACCTAAACCATCTTTTAACCGACCCAGAATGCCTTCAGTCACTGTCATGTCACTGTGATCACAACAGTATTTAGTTGACTTCCTTTTACAGTCTACATAGGATGCTGTGTAATAGAGGTACTTACAGGTGTCTTTGAGTTTTGGAGGGAACTGTGAACGGGTGACCGCCAGGATGATAAAGATCACAAGTGGCCAGATAAGGAGAGCCAGTGACCAGCCCTGAAAACATCAATAAACAAATGTCCCGTCAGATTTTACTGTTGGTTACATTGTGCTGAGCATACCATAAGACATGTATAGGTCTTCTGAAACATTTAAAAAATATGTTTTAAGGATACAACAATATTAAAGCAATAAAGCACAGGTAATACAAGAACTACTGTCCTACTGTACAATGCAGCAAGTAATTTCTCTGATAGATATCACTCCATAGAATACAGTATCACTTTGCTGTGTTAACTTAATTCTATAAAAGCAATAACGCAACCAAATCAGCTAACAAAAAAAACAAAAAAAACAAGGTGTGTAGAACTTACTCTTAAATTTTAACATTCATTATGTAAATATTATGTTGCGCAAAGGGTTAGGTAGAATAAAAACCTAGCCTGGGAAAACCCAGACAACTTCCGGCAAATTTAGATTTGCTCTGAAAGTTAGTCTGGCAAAGAGCTCATTCAAACCTACAGTCTATGATTCAAACCATAGACTGTAAAAAAATGATTCAAACCCATTTCCAATCCGTCGAAATCGCGGCACCAATCAGAAACGTTGGGGCGGGCTTTACACGATGACGACAGCGCTGGGATTTTGAAGCAGATTTTGTAGCCTACATTACAAAGATGGATGCCGCCGTCGAACATCACTCGTTCGAATCAGCTATCGCGTCTGTTTTAAGCGATTTGAACGTTTCCTTTTTGTTAAAAACCGAGCAAAGAACAACACTCGGAGATGTGTTTCCGCCGCTCTGCATACGTCATCTCCTCGCTCTGATTGGGTTTAGGTCTATCCGCGACGTCCGTTCGTGACGCCCCTCTGGAAATGATTTGTCTATGACGCTTTGCCAGACCATAACTAGTTACAACTGAGAATGGTCTGGTTTTAACCAGGCTAGTAGAAACCCACAGAACTCCACAGAATCCATGCTCAATGCAGACATCATCATTTTAATCTGGGCATCCAGCTTTTTTTTTTTTTTTTGAAACCATAAAATGAGAACATCCAATTGTACAATTTGCATTTACTCACTGGCTGCCGGATGACACTGAGGCCATTTTTCCAGAGAAGAAGTCTTAACTGTTGTAAGAAGGCCATTAGAGGAGACGGCCTGATAGAAACAAAAGAAAAATGCAGGTTATGTTAAATATATTCAGTAATTCCAGCATTGGAACAGATGCTATATGTTTCAACATCAATTGCACTTTAATATCAAGAAGCAATCAAACATAAAAGTTATTAATAATTACCAAGTTAATTATTAATGACTAGGTAATAGTGAACATGATCGAGCTTCAACATCTAACTGATCTCAGCGAGTTCATCATAAATCCACTGCCAAATGAGAATGTTATTCTTTATTCTTGGTAGCCTACACCTTGGACAAACTTGTAGACCACATTACACCAAAAACCAGCGATGGAAATGGGTGCAGCCAGGAAGTGAATTTAAAAGGTGGATGGAGTTCCAGTTCAAAATGTAGAGAATTTTTTGTTTCATATTTTATCCACATAATATCCTCAAAACGCTATGCAAACTTCATATATAAATATAGTTGGATTTTTATGCTTTTAAAATATAAAATAGTGAATCTCTGCCATTTCCACCACTGACAATAAACCCAGTTTAACTAACTTAAAGCAATTTATGATATATGCCTTGTCTACCATTGTTGCACAAGATTTCCAACTTTATATTATAACGCCATTTTGTATAGATGCTGTTTAAATTCATAATAATAAAATTAATAAAATAATTTAAAAAAAAACAAATGTAGGCTACATAAACATAAAAATAATTAAAAAGACTGATTTTTTTAATCTAATCCCCCCTGCCCCTTTACGTTGTGTCTTTGTGCGCTTTTGATTAAAACTGTTGAAAATCACTGAGTTTTTCCTAACTAATCCCCACTAAATTCCATTTACCTCATATTTAATACCGCCAAATAATATTTAATTGACATTATGACTGAATCTCAGTGACTCACTTTATTATCGCACCTACAAAATGAATAGCCTACCGTACCACTTCATCAGATGTCAGAAGTTCAGAACTCTATACTTATTAGAGATCACTAAAAGAATATAAATGGATGAAGTTATATTTACCTTGTTTAGTCTGGGTTGAATTTGGTTTATAGTTATTGGGTCCGATGCGTTTGATATACTGAAGACATTTTGCTAGGTTATTCCTAGCAAAGAGCTCTTTCCATGTGATATTCAACCACCTGAAGAAAAATTAATAATAACAACGAAAATCAAGAATGTACTCCTGTTAATGACGCGCCGTAGAAGAACCGTTTTTAAATCTCGTCAGGTGTTCGCACCGGTGTCAGTGACATCCAATATAGACTTATCTCTGTAATGCTTATGACTGTGGTTGTGCAGTACAGGTGAGAGGCGGGTGTTTCACACACAGCTTGTATGACCGGTTTGAAGATTCCGTGCCGTCTCTCTCTCTCTCTGTGTGTGTGTGTGTGTGTGTGTGTGTGTGTGTTAGAGAGTACAAATATGCAATCGTGGAACGAATATTGTGTTCATATTGAAACTACAAGTAGGCCTATCATCAAATAAAAATGCAATGTCAACCAAAATTTTTATTCGGCTCAATTTATATTGTCTGTTGTACAATCGGGACTATCAATCTACCATCGCAATGGTGTTATTCCCAAGGCGTCATATAATGACGCTTTTGCCAAAGCGTCTACATCCAACGCACATGATAGGCTACCCTTTAGCGTCAATATGAGACGCAGATATATATGGGCCAGAAGGCGCCTCCTATACCCCTTTTCCACCAACAAGAACCGGGTGCTGGTTCAGAGCCAGAGCTGGTTCGGAGTTGGTTCGACTGACAAGCTTACTAAGAACCGGTTTGCCTTTCCACAGGCTAGAGAGCCACAACAGAGCCAGATCTTACGTCACTGCATACATCTCATGTTCCCCAGCAACGCTAGTGCGGTAGCGCCAAACACAAACACGCCAGGCTTGTTCGAGATGCATCGGCTTCTCCCAGATCAATCGCCGCATGACATCAAAGCACTGCAAAAGCGATCCAAAAGCACAAGGAGTCGTATGATCTCCAAACACTCCCGCAGCTCCGATCGGTCCGCGCCGCTCCGATGCATCTCGAACAAGCCATCAACAATAACGGACATTGCGTTACTATGGATGCTCATGGGTTTGCAAAAATACATCGGAATCCAACGCGTTTGTGCAGCTCGCCGTAACTTACATAGACGGATATTATAATCAAGCTGCTATTAGCTCGACTAGCTGCTATTTAAAAATGGCGGTCAGAAGTTTCTATTCGTCTTGTTGGTCACGGTAACCCCGCCCCCAGCCCCTGACGCAAGCGGTTCTTACTTGGCTCTGTTCTAGACCAGCAATGATTTGGTGCTACTGAAGAACCACTTTTCCTAGTTCGGAGCTGGTGCTTTGCGTGTGGAAAAACAAAGAACCGAATTGAAACTAGGCTCTGGCTCCGAACCAGCACCAGCTCTGCCTTGGTAGAAAAGGGGACGGGGTACTAGTGGTCTAACCCTAACACTACCCCAGACCTAAACCTACCCATAACCGAAGCGTGTTATATTGACGCTAAAGGGTGCCATGTGCGTTGGATGCATAGACAGTATAAGAAGTGGACAGAGCCATCTCATTGGAACTCAGTTGAGACAGTTGAAGCCCATTTTTACCGATTTTTGAGCACTTCCGTTCCTGACGCGCAGACTCAAACCGACTCAAACTAAGCTTGATGACGTGAGCAACCTGTCTGACAGACGTTAATCTTCTAGTAGCTGTGCGTGAAAATTGCCAACGTTAATCTTGCAGAGACGGGGAACTTGAGCAAAGAGTTATTTGGCGTGAGTGAGCAGGAGTAAGTATTCCGTTGCTTTTATGGACTCATTATCTATGGGCTTCTCCCTTGACGGTACGTCGCCCCGATTGCCTGCGAGCTACTCCTCGTGTCTGTACGGTAATTTCTGTACACCGCACAGAGAGTCGAGTGGTTATGACGCAATCGTTAGCCTATTTTTACAAAATCTGTTTCTACGGGGCCATAATGTAACATAGAAGGTAATGGAGCCCTTTATACATTGTCGTGTTTCTTTAGAAATAAATAATGGACAAATAGAGTCTTTAAACGCCTCAGATGTAAAGTTATTCGCTGTCAAAGTGATGCCAAAATGAATGGGAGTCAACGGAAATGCTAACGCAAGTGAAGTTCTGCTACAACATGGCGGCACCCGGCCGGCTTCAACTTCCGGTCGATGGATTACCCCCTTGGTTGGATGTAGACGCTTTGGCAGTATATGACGCCTTCGGATGAGAATGCATTGTTTTTGCGCATGTGAAAGGATGCTGGATGCTGGGACACGAGTGAAGCAATAGTTACGCATCCAAGTGCGGATATAGAAACTTTAGGAGCCCAACGCCGGTTTCAGTTTCGCTTTACAAAGGCTAGCCTAAATTTGTTTAGGCTTTAAAATAAATATGGTTTGTGGGCTAATGAATGGCACTATAGCCTAATTGATGTTTATTTTATACTTATATTTTTCATTCTTTTGCGTTGAATACAGTTAAATTTAAAGCATTTGTTGTGGAAATACTAGCCTGGGAAAACCCAGACAACTGAAAGTTAGTCTGGCAAAGAGCTCATTCATCCCCATTTCCAATCCTTCGAAATCGAGGCACCAATCAGAAACGTTGGGGCGGGCTTTACACGATGACGACAGCGCTGGGATTTTGAAGCAGATTTTGTAGCCTACATTACAAAGATGGATGCCACCGTCGAACATCGCGTCTGTTTTAAGCGATTTGAACGTTTCCTTTTTGTTAAAAACCAAGCAAAACACTCGGAGATGTTTCTGCTGCTCTGCATACGTCATCTCCTTCATCGTTCTGATTGGTTTTAGGTCTATCCGCGATGTACGTTGGTGACGCCCCTCTGGAAATGATTGGTCTATGACGCTTTGCCAGACCATAACTAAGTTACAACTGAGAATGGTCTGGTTTTTGACCAGGCTATGGAAATTCCCTAAAAAACATGTTTGTAAACATGTAGTTTTTACCGGTATTTTACATTGTTTTTTAATGTAATAATAAAATGCGACTAATAACTGGTGGATGTTGGCCGGATGTGGGCCGGATCTGGGCCAACACTATGTTGCTGTCTGGAATATTACACGTCAATATACAAAATATGTCATTTTAACAAGAAAAATATGTCGTTTTAACAACAATATCTCATTATTACGAGAAAATCTGTCGTTAAAACGACATAACATCTCGTTATTACGACATAATTGTGTGGGAAAAAATAATGTGTATAGGTGGCAGCAACTGTGACACATTCTACGCCTGCTGTTTCCATCCTATCACCACTAGAGGTTACCTGTTCACAATTAAGACTTTTTCACTGCGCACACAGTTACAGGTTACTTTGGACTACATTTCCCATACTCCATTGCTTTGATTATTTCCACACCTGTAGTCAATATCAGGGACTATAAATCACTGATACATGAGCTCTCTGGTTGCGGAGTATTGTTTAACTATTGTGAAACCTTACTGAGTGTTCATTTCTGTGTCTGCCTGCTCGTCTTGTGACTTTTCTGTTTTGAATATCTCCCTGTCTACTGCCTGCCTCTGATACCTCTGCTTGGTCTTCCGACTATGAGTATTTGCTGCCTGTCCTGATCATTTGCTTGGTTTTGTATTACGTTTTGGCCCAGTCTTCATGGTTGTTTTTGCTGGTTCTGATCTTTGTCCTGTTTGTTAATGATTAAGTCTCTGCCTGTTTTGAACGCATCTCGCTGATTAAAAGCTCTTCACATGGATCCGCACGCCTCTTGTATCTGTCCCAACGTAACAGAATACTCCGCCAAACAAGGATCCACCGGCTTTTCTGAAGAACAAGAACACTGGTCAGGTTTGAACCTTGCAAAACAATTACTAGCCCTAAAACAGGGTATGAGACTGTTAGAGGAATATATTCAGGAGTTTTTGGATTTAGCATATTTTTCTGATCTGCCTGATTGTGTTCTCATTGACTTTTTTTGTGACGGTATAAATAAACCCCTAAGATCTCGATTAATCCATGAGGGTCCTCGAACATCGCTCTGTCATTTTTTAGATTATGCTCTATGTTTACTGGCTCATCTCTCACTGTGGGGGTTGCAGAGGAATGCACCGGTACTTCCGTGCCTATAATGCAGCAGCTCCAGAGCCTCGTGTCGTCTCAGCAGACCTTCCAGAGCCTTGTGTTGTCTCAGCAGACCTTCCAGAGCCTCGTGTCGTCTCAGCAGACCTTCCAGAGCCTCGTGTCGTCTCAGCAGACCTTTCAGAGCCTCGTCTCGTGTCGTCTCAGCAGACCTTCCAGAGCCTCGTGTCGTCTCAGCAGACCTTCCAGAGCCTTGTGTCGTCTCAGCAGACCTTCCAGAGCCTTGTGTTGTCTCAGCAGACCTTCCAGAGCCTCGTGTTGTCTCAGCAGACCTTCCAGAGCCTCGTGTCGTCTCAGCAGACCTTCCAGAGCCTTGTGTTGTCTCAGCAGACCTTCCAGAGCCTCGTGTCGTCTCAGCAGACCTTCCAGAGCCTCGTGTCGTCTCAGCAGACCTTCCAGAGCCTTGTGTCGTCTCAGCAGACCTTCCAGAGCCTTGTGTCGTCTCAGCAGACCTTCCAGAGCCTCGTGTCGTCTCAGCAGACCTTCCAGAGCCTCGTGTCGTCTCAGCAGACCTTCCAGAGCCTCGTGTCGTCTCAGCAGACCTTCCAGAGCCTCACCACGTCATGTCTGCCACTTCAGAGCCACGTCTTGTTGTGGTTGTCGTACCGCAACCCTCCTCTGATCTGTCAGGGGAGACCGTCATCAAGCGCCAGAGGTTGGCATCCAGCATGGAGGATCCACCACTGGTGTCTGTACGCACAGCTGAGATTCCCAAAGCAACTCATTCTGGCCCTTCTACTCCTGAGGTTATCCTGTCGGCCGCTCTCCCTGTAATGGGGCTCGCTTTATGGTGTGTCTGGGCCACGTACACCACCGCTGAATATCCAGAGGTGGTGGCACTCGTTTCAGCTCCTGGCGCGGTGATGACTTTTAGGGATGAACTTTGGTCCAGTTTTGAATTGGTCAGGGAGGCCGATTATGAACTTTTGCCTTGTCCTAAACTAGCCATGAAGATCATTTCTGAACCCTTGTTTTCCTGCCCTGAAACTGCCTTAGAGGCTGGTAATGAACTTTCCTCCTGCGTTGACCTGGATACGGAGGCAATCTTTCAACTACCATCTTGTTCAGCACCACCCAAGCAGACTAACAATGAATTATGGTACCGTCCTGAACTAGCCAGGAAGGACAATTATGGACTTTGGC